GGGACCATGTATCATGTTTTTGATAACTACCTCATGCAATCCAGGATCTACTTGTACATTAGGGATTTCAGCTGATATCACTGCATCAACTTCATTTGGCCTTATCTTTTCAACCAACCAAATCAAAATGTGTGCATGTGGCAATCCTCGTTTCTGCCACTCCACAGAATACATCCAGCACCGTGTCTCACCAAACACATTATGTTTTACGATGAAATCCATTAAAGATTTCAACTTTTGTCTAAAGACTCTGACTGTAATATCATGACGATCAATGGGTGATTGCCCAGGGAATGACTCCTGCTTGATTTCTATCCATTGCGGATTGCATGTAAATGTGATGAACAAATCTGCTGTACCATAATGACGAACATACGACATGGCATCTTGAGCATATTCGTGCATATGCCGAGGGCTTCCGATGTATGTTGCTGGAAGAATAGTCATCCGACCGACATTCTGTGCATTTCCATATTAATCGCATCAGTATTAATCGCATCTCGAAGGTGAATATACTCTTCAGATCGGAGTTTGGTTTGATTCAACCCGATTAATGTTAATCTCTCCGTTTCAATTTTAACATACATGTCAACAACATATTTGTGATATAATCGCCGACATTTCAATATGTGATTTTCTTCATTTTCCCGAATCATTAGGCGGTATGAATAATAGTTCATTGAACTGACTTTTTTGTTGGTTTCAGAACCTGTAAATAGATTTTGTTTTAATAACATTCGAATATAAAATTAAAATACATAATATAATGACTGAGATATTATCGCCATAGCTAAACTAATATTTTAGTTACCTGTAATGGGATTTATCATTTTTATTGAGAAATCGTAGCCATCTTCATCTTGCCAAAATATAATGGGAAATTGCAGTGCATCATATGAGCGGTGTGTTTCCTTTATACGTTGTAATTGATCATTCCGACGATGTAAAACAATATCACGGGATTCCAAGTTTTCTCCAACTACAACGATAGCAACTTCATCAATAGTTGGTGCATTAAAACGTCTTGTATGTTGACCTGCAGGTGTTTTATCAGCTCTGATTACAATTTTGTGATTATCGGATGGCATCAGATCCAGGGCAGTTTTAAACAATATAATCAATTGATTGTGTTGATGAAATAAAGTTTGTAATTGTTCTACAATAGACCTCTTTACTAAATCGTTATGTGCACAACGCAGATCAATTTCTTGTGGTGAATTGCCCATAAAATAAATTTGCAGGAATTTGTTGTCGCTATCTGACACTGGTAACAGTGAACCTGCTCTGTGATATATTTGCCCTTGTATCTGTAAATAAAAAAAAAATATTATGGTGTGGTATAAATTAATGGATTGTCAGTGATCAAACTTAAATAATATTTGATCTTAAAAAGTATATATTTAGTTTTAACTAATATCTATCAAATATAAAATATAATAAAAGTGTCACTGAAACTGAATCACCATATAATATGATGACTAAGTGATATATAAGTGATTAAGAAATTGAAGATTAGTGACACATCTTAACTTTGGTGACAGAAAATTTTGTTCGCTAAAATAATTATGAGTAACTGCTATAATACATACCTTGAAAGTTGGCATAAAATTTTCCCGAACTACATTTGTTGCCCCAAATGAAGTCATTTGAAAGCAATTGTTATATTGTTGGATATGTGTCAAAAAGTGTATAGAATCTGTTCCTATTCCTGAAACCAATGAGTACAATGGTTCTGGTGGTGGATCCAATGGTATCAATTTCACTTTACCATTTGCGCAACACAATCCATTGGCTTCGTTTTTGTATTTTAATGCCTTACAGTGTGAGCAAACCGAGTTCATAGAACCAATAACAACACATTGGTAGTTACTGTAGTCAATTGACACATCGTAACTGAAAGCAGCTCGATTCAAACTTGCGCGATTATTAGTTGAATGTCGCGCTCGCGCTTCACGCGTTTGTGATATCCGAATTCTTTCACGTTCATTTCCGTCGTCACGTTCTTGTGCAGTACGATTAGATCGGTAATTAGCTTGGTTTGTAGCATTTCTGGTTCTTCTACCTAAATTGCTTCGTCTTATAGGAGGCATATCAAATATAAATTATTTTTTCACTAATCACGAACTAAACAAACACTAACTAAGTAAACACTCTTGGGTTTTTCCAGCAATAATTCTAATTTTTCTCGCCGTAAAAACCATCCTTGAACTTCAACGAACATTTTAAAAAAAGATTTGGCCAAATTGGTCGAGGCGTTGTTGAGTTATGCGCTTACCAACACATTTTGCGATTCATTTTTATATTATAGATGATGCAAGGTGATAGAAATATACACTGGCGGCCAAAATTATTAGATCACCAAAGAAATTCGAATTAAAATTTCTGTCGATAATTTTTTGCAGGTGAATTATTTTTTCTTTGAATCTACAGCAATCATGTTTGTTAACTAAACTTCATTTCAAGTTTTTTTTTTTTTTTTATCGCAGTTTCTTTACCTGTAATAAAGAATTATCAGTTTGAATATTTTCAGGTCAGTTTTAATTTTACCTTAAACGGTTAAACACTGATTTTGTTTTCCTTATTTTTCTTTAAAACTTAAAAATGAATGTTCACGGTCGAGTTAGACATGCATTATCGTTGGAGGATTGTGTTAGGGCGTTAACATTAATGGAGGAAGGTCGTAGTCAGCGATATATCGCAGAAAGGCTTGGCGTGACCCAATCTGCAATTTCTTATGTTCTAAGAAGACATAGAGAGAATGGTAATCATCAGAGAAGACCAGGTCATGGTCGTAGACGCATTACCAATGCCGCCCAGGATCGCTACATGGTTCAACAAGTTCTTCGAAACCGGACATTAACAGCTCCTGAGGTGCAAAATTCGGCTAGAAGGACTTATGGAATCCAAATCAGCTCAAGAACGATAAGAAGACGCTTAAGGGAAAGAAACCTGACGTCACGGATCCCAGCTAGAGGGCCGCGTTTGACCGTAGGGCATCGGAGGAACAGACTTCAATTTGCAAGAATGCATGTTAATTGGGAGCCGGCCGATTGGAATCGAGTTTTGTTTACCGACGAGTCAAGATTTTCCCTGTACCATTCAGATAGACGCGTTCGAGTTTATCGGAGACCTGGAGAACGGTACGCACAGTGCACTTCATTGAAGACATTCGTCATGGTGGAGGCAGTGTTATGTTTTGGGGAGGCATCTCTTTGGGAGGACGTACGGAGCTCGTGGCGCTTCGGAGGGGTAATATTAATGCTGTCCGATACATGTCGGACATTCTTGAACCTCATGTAGTGCCATATGCTGAAAACTTTGGTGCTGGCTTCATTTTTATGCAACACACAGCTCGGGTGACACAAGATTTTCTTCGTCGTGAAAATATTGAGACCATGAATTGGCCAGCTAATAGTCCTGACCTAAACCCCATTGAACATGTATGGGACATGATCGGAAGGCGATTTAGAGCGCTCCCAAATCCTNCGATTTAGTGCGCTCCCAAATCCTTCGAGTGACCTTGACGGGCTTACTAATGCCATTTCAGAGATTTGGAACAACATCGATCAAGGGGACATAAGGGAGCTTATTTTAAGCATGAGGCGACGGTGTGAAGCTGTCATACGAGCGAGGGGTGGCAACACTAGGTATTGAGAGTTTTTTTCATGGGTGAACTAAAATTTCGTTTTTCAGGATTTTGTTATTTTTTTAGTGAAAGTTTATTTTTGTTATTTTTTTACAATATAATGGCGTATAATAAGATAATCGGAGTTTTTTTATATTCCTTACTCAAAACCAACAAGATATCAAATCTTATTTGAAAAAAATCTTAAAGTTATTGTGTGATCTAATAATTTTGGCCGCCAGTGTATATTNATCTTATTTGAAAAAAATCTTCAAGTTATTATGTGATCTAATAATTTTGGCCGGCAGTGTATGTTAAAATACGTTGATTAGTAGAAAATACTGGATCGTATTTTAAGAAGCTAGTGATACTTGAGTCCTCTTATTAAAATACATGTGATGTTTTGCTATTTATTGAAAATGGTACTTGGTTTTTATTACTTTGTATGGATTTTTTATCTTGAGGTATTATTAATGGTGGGACGGTGTGGCCGAGTCGGTAACGCGGCTGTATTTGACACGTACTGCCTCGGGTTCGAAACTCGGACACGGGCGGCTTCATTTGCCGAACGAGAGATTAGTTCGGTAATTGGAGTCTCCATCCCTCTCTCCGGCGACGCACTTATCCCGGAGTATAAATCGTTAAGAAACCTCCTATTTTGAGGGAGGCCGCTATGGTCATTAATGGGCTGAAAGTGCAAAAATAAATTATTAATGGTATTTTCTAAAAATAAATTTATACAGTTGCTGGGAATTGGTGGCTGGTTTTCAGAATAATTGTTATGATTATTAATTATTGATATAATTATTATACCAAAAATTATGTGAAACAAAGATACATGGTACATGATTAAAATTTACGCCTTAAGACGTTGTAAAGGCAAACCTTACTACTAAGCTACTTTCCAACTATTATTTAGATCTCGATACAATTCAAATAGGTTAATAACGTAATGTGCGGCTATGGGAAACACGATACTGTGTTAATTTGGAAGTCACATTATTTTTATACCAATAAAGAGTTAAAAAACAGTAATGCAGAATTCTTGACATCCTCAAAAAAAATGAAACAAATGCATCTTAGTAAAATAGTCTTACACACGAAAGAAATATTTATGTTATAAAATTTCTTGTAAATAATTTGTAGATTTTAATTATCAGAGAATATGTAATAAGTTAAATAAAAATATTGCTTAGATAATACATGAATAGGCAAATAATATCTTAGTATTTTTAACGTAATAATATGGTGGATTCAATTCAAGTAATACATTTTTTAATGATAACTTACAACATTGTACATTATACTCTACCATACTGTTGTGCGTCGTTGTACCGTGACGTAGATACAAAGAAAGTACACACATCAATTAGCACTTTTTAAATGTTCTGACTTGTAACTAGACGTTTCTTAGTCAAAACGTCAACCCCCCATTACTTTTCACATTTCCCTTTATATATTCTTTTTCCCACCTTTGTTAACTTGCTTACCCTGCATTTTTCCTCTATATGACGATATTATTTAACTTAAAAATTTAAAACTGATTACTAAGTTGTTAAAACCTTATACTAAACTAATATCGAAGTTTTTTAATATCTTCTCGGCTATCTGATAAAATTACTATTAATCGCTGGATATCTGTGAATAGCGAACTCGTAAAAAAGCAACAAGCTACGAGTTAGTTCAATACTCGTACATTATAATAATATTTTAACTCGAAAGTTCGAAACTTTAAAATGTAATAGCTAAATAAAAGATTAAGTTATACTAAAAATTCCATCACCATTTTTCTCGCAACCGATTAGGTGTCATATTCTCTGCACGACTACCGGTACCTATCAAATATATGGCAGGCGCTCTCGCTTACTTTCTTACCTCCTCGACATGTAAAATTTAAGTTAAGGCAAAAATTTTGCCTTATAGTGTTATTTGTGTTCGTAGTTGAGCTTCTTTATGTTAAGTTTTTTAAATTTAGACACGTAAATTAAAGTTCCTATTTTTTGTTAATAAATTATTCAGAAATTTAGCGTCATTGTGATCTAAAAAAACTATAAATTATTGTTTGTTATACGACAAATTTGTTTTAGGTACCCGTCGCAGCTGGTTAGTGCGCACACCTCATCTGTGGTTTTGTAATTTACTATTGTGAATTACTATTAGTATAATTTAAATATTGAAATTATGTATATATATTAGGATGGTTCAAAAAACGCGACTTCAAATATTAGATCACGTCACCCCCCTATTTTTTTACTTGATATAGAAAACTTGTACTGTGAAAATTTGGACTCTATCAAACAACCGTTTCCCGTGCCGCATTGGGGTTGAAGGTTGACCAAATAGGATTGTTTTTTAGTTTTTCACATTTATTTCAATAAATATTATAGCTAGCGTAAAAATGTATAAAATAAAACTATTTAGTATTACATTTCAAACAAATAAGGTTCTAATACATTTTTTCTAAAATCAATAATTACTGAGATAATTCAAAAATATCTTTTAATTTTTATAATTTTGTAAAAGTAATAATATTATGAGCATGTACCATGTACACGCCAGGTATAAAAATAATAAATACTTAAATGCCGTGTAAGATAAATAGTGTTTGTAATTGGAGATCATATAAAATGGAGGGACTTTAACCCTCCATCTTTACCTCACCAAAAAACTCTAAATCTTTAAAGTAATTTAAATCAAGTGTTTTTCAAATATAAGAGATATTAAAATTAAAATCATTATATATTATATGTTTAAAAAATGAAAAATGAACACTAAAAATAATTAAAAAATATACACTACATAGTGGGATTTATAAAACTTTCTATGTTATTGCTTGGAAAATTTTGTTGATAATTTTTGACTATCTATGATTAAAATTAAAAAAATAAAGTTAATTTATATACATTAATGGATTTTTATATTTATATCTGTTAATAATCGTGAATGGACTGTAATCATAAAATATTATAACCAGAGTGTGATGCTCTATCATGTGTAAAATATGTCAAATGTCATTATAACCTAACTGCATGAGTAGCCTACGCTGGTTAAACAAGTAATACTATATGCGTTACGTCGTGTAGCTTAATCTGTGAATATTGCGCAAATAGCCTTTAATATGTTGTGGTATCCGCAGAGTACCAACGGCACATAACAGTATAGTACCGCCTTGCACGAGTACCCTAGACGTCAATCGACCACCGCAGTGCGTCAACAAATATGACAATAAAACGGAAATAATTAAAATATAGTTAAGGTACCCCGCGAGGTGACAACACCATCCTTTAATCACTTATTTTTCGATTACGTGAATTATGCATAACGTAACTGCGCGCAGGTGGGCTCATGCAGTAAGTTTTGTATTTAGAATTGCACTAAATGTTACTATCAATACTATTGTGATATTCATAAATTTGTCTATTGTAGACAAATTTATTCTATGCAATAAAATAACAAACTTAATTATAGTAAATGATTAAACATAAAACAACTTATAACAAAAACAACAAATAAAAAAAAACCCAGCACAGGAGGGTCGCGGCTTAGTTGGATCAAGTATAATGATATCTGACAGTGATTAAAATCACTATCAAAAAAACGCTTCGATGCAAATCTTTAGATAGTGTTTAATTTTAAAAAATTAGTGGATTATTCCAAAAGCTACATGATCTGCTAGTTCCTTATTAATATCCTGAATTTTTGAGGACCAGAAGAAAAAATCAAATAACAGTCATTATATTGACTGTTTTCTATTTGATTTAATGTTGACGGGTTGGCGTCGGGGGAATATCGTCGTCCACCACTACACGAGAGCCTCCTCGTCTCCCAGGAATGGGTCTCTTAGGCCCAAGCCAAATTCTTTTCACTTCTTTCCACGTTCCTGTTTTCCGGGTCTAAGCTATTTCATGATGAATAGCCTCGGCCTACCTCCCTCTTTCAATTATCTTCCACGGGGTAGAAGCCGTCTCATTCAAGGCGGCTCGAGTAACTATGACATACTCGGATCGTTGGGAAGACTTTCTGAAAATGTACTTAAATGAAAAAAAAACACCATTTGTCCCTGGGTCAGCTTTTTGGTATTATCCTAAATCCGTTAAGTAAATCAAACATCAATTTTCGATGGGCCTATTTTTTACCCTCCAGAGACCAGAATTGAACTATCGACCCCTAGTTACTAGAATTATAAACCAAAACGCCTACTCTAAGGCACTCCCTATCTACTCTACTCAACGATTACACATATTTCTATCCACCAGAATAATTTTATTTTTTATTTTTACATTTTAAACAATTTAAAACTTACCCTAACGTTAACACTTCTTTAACTTTTAAATATTTTTGTACTAATAAATGACCTTTAAACAGCTGTTTTTTTAAATTATAAATATGCCTAGTGATTAATAGTGAAAATAAATATTTACTTTGCATAGTTTCGCCATAATTATTTAAACGCGTATAACCCACGACGCATATTGTAAAGTTTATTTCGTAATTTCCTTATTAACTAACTCACAAATAATTATTTTTTAGTATTACTTATTTATTTCTGTAAATTGCTATTCGACATTTTGAGCCCAATTTCGGTATGGACAATTTAAAGGTAATATGACAAGACAAAATAATGAGTAGATATGAGTAATATTATAAACATACAAATTTAAGCACACAGTATCATTACGTCTTTAGTGTTTCGATTATTAATGAAATATAATTATAACACAGATGTTATGCTGACGAAATATGTTAGATTATTTATTTTATATACACTTAATGTATTTACATGGGGTTTGCCTGGTTTGAGGGTAAGAACGTATGTTTCGGCGTACGGGGTCTCTGGTTCGATCCCCAGGGTGCGATCGAGAGTTAACTACAGTATTGCCACATTCCTATATATTATATAAAGAAAATTTTAAGTATTTCATTTTAATATGTTCGAGAATCTTCGTGCGTATATGCATTTTGTGTTGTACACCCATCACGAAAATTCTAGATCATTTCAGAATAACTACACTCGAGTTATTCACATTAATTTTACATTTGTGTAGCTAAAAATCATTAAATCACCCAAGTTACCCGTGCCAAAAAATAGACTGAGCAATTCATCCAACAAAACGAACTCTATGTCCATTGGCGTTAAAAAAACCAAAGCGTTGACTAAAGTCAACAAAATTAAATTAAAGGGACAAAAAACAGGTAAATATTTTTTTAAATGATTTTCTAATAAATGCTTATACGTAAAATTTCATCAGCTACTGAAACTCGGACAAATTTAAACAAAAAATCTACTGAAACTCATAAAATAATCATAAACACAAAAACGACGTCTACTGATAATGCACCGAACAATTATATCGACACAGTCATTAAAGAATTCAAGCTAAAATATGAAGAAATAAAACAACGGCGTCATCGCCCTAGACAATTTTATAACAACGATGAAATTGTATTGTCTGTATTAGCAGACGCTTTTAGTGAAAAACTTCAAAGGACACGGACCATTCGTAAAACTGACTCTTCCGAGGCAACTAAAGAACAATCTAAAAAAAACTCTGTCTTGGGTAATGATAAAAATAACGAGTCTTTGCCTAACAGTCAGTTCGAGGCTTTAAAAGATCAAACCGATATGAACTTACTCTTCGATAAATCCTATACATTCGTCCCTAAGTCGGAAGTTAAAAACATTACAAATTCGGTTACTTCAAAGTCTTCTTCGCAATATGATACGGCGAAAGTCAATCTTCCATCGAATAAAGTGAAATTCGTGTCTGCGATCTCTGTTAAAATCCCAGGTAGTAAAGTTTTTAATGGTCAGTCAGGACATAGAGGTCATTTAGCGGCTGGCGTTCACAATATGGACACCTCTATGGTATCATCAAAACAAAACAACACAAACAAGAAATTTTTGTCTAAGATACCAACAAGGAACAATGTTTCAAAAGATAATAATATTAGTAATAATTCAATTATTTTTATGATGTTATTCACGAATAAATGATATTAAATATTACTTGATTTTTTAGGGAATAGTTCACTTAAGGTTTTGGATTTATCATTGAACACTGGCAATACATTCAATAGGCATGCAGTTCAATGTCAAAGATTAAACAACTGTACTTGTTCATATTCCAGTGTTAAACATCTCAATGCCGAACCCCATGCCAAAAATTGTATTAAGAGGACCATTAAAATAACCACACATTATTAAAATTAATGACATAGAAGGATAACTTTTATCAACTACTGTTGTTATATCATGGAACTACTGCCTGAAATTCCTAATTAAACTTGTCTCTGTATGAAAAAAAAATAAAATGATACAATATTAAACACTAGTCTTAAAGATTTTATTTCATTGTTAGTCAAAAACATCACACTAAGATTTATGTACATTAGTTGATATTTTGACAATTTTGTGTTTGTATATGGCCATAGTAGATGATCATAATGTAGTTAAGATTTAATAAATATTTATTTATACATATTTTTGTGTAATTATTAATCGATTATTAGACCATCCATGTATTACATAACTAATAATTGAAATAGTGACATGGAAAAGATATTTAGCCCAATAAAAAAATTTAATTTTTTGTTTTTTTTTATGAACAACATTATCATATCCTTACAGTCTCTGACCAAAATAAATCTATTTTAGTAAAAATAGTTGAAAACAATATGACGATTATAATAAGTTCACGCAATTTAGATAGATGGTTTTTCATTTTACTATAAAATTTTGATTTTATAACATAGTACTTTTTCCATAATAGTGTCTAAAGTATTCTTTATTTAATTATTTGGATATATTTCAATGTAATAACAGAAGCTGTAAGAACAGTTGTAGAAATTAATGTTAAAGGAAAAAGAGGTAGAAGAAGACTAAAAATAGATGGGGAGATGTTACTGAATGCGATATGAGGACGGCTTATGTGTGTTATACTATAATAGAATTTTAATGAGATTGAAAAATAAGTTCTTTAAAACTGTTGTGAGATCAGCTACAGTGTATGGTTTAGAGTATTAGCGATTGACAAGAGAATAGAGTAGAGAATGGGTGTAACAGAGATCAGAATGATTTGATGGATGAAGGGTGTGGTTAGAGAAGATAGGATAAGAAACGAACATATAAGAGAAAGTATATGTGTAGCGTCAATCGTGAATAAGATGAGAGAAAATAGAATTAGATGGTTATTGAATGCGATATGAAGATGGCTGATGTGTGCGTAGACGATGTGGGAGATTGTGTCAAGCGTTAAATAAGGCTCACCCCAAATAGTTGGAATTAAAGCGAGAAAAAGAAGAATCATGTATTTAAATATAATATACACATGACCTGTAGTAGTTGAATACATTCAACTTTTATTCAATGATTTTACTTACAGGTAAGACTAAGTTAGGATTCCTACATTTAAAAATTACTACGAATACAAATATTCGTATTGTCTTTTGTTCTCATAATATGCTGGCGCCTATAAGCGTTATAATATAGTAATACCCTTGTTGTTGGAAATATGCATACCTAAGCGTCTGGTTACCCATGATAAAATTCTTAGAAATTATAAAACCATAACGACAGACGTTGTCTTTTGTTCTCATAATATGCTGACGCCTATAAGCGTTATAATATAGCAATACATTTGATGTCTGGAATATGCTGACCTAAGTGTCTGGTTACCCATGATAAAATTCTTGGAAATTATAATACCATAACGACAGACGTTGTCTTTTGTTCTCATAA